AATTTGAAATGATAATCGAATATGTTTGTTGTTTGTGAGAACCCCTTGAATCATTACATTACTTGATTGAAAGGGTTCTCAACGATTTATGGAACGTATATATTTATATGCTTTCCATATTTTTCTTTCTCAGGTTCTTTACTCATTTTTAGTCAATTAGATGTAAATGAACCATAACTATGTAGTCCTATTCCTAATAGATTGATCCCCAAATAACATATCCAAATTATAAGAAATCCTATAGAGGCCACTATTGAAGAATTTACACCTTCTAATTTTTTATTTTTTCTAGTATGTAAATAAATCGCGAATATGGTCCAAGTAATAAAGGCCCAAGTTTCCTTTGGATCCCAATTCCAATAGGAACCCCATGCCTCGTTAGCCCATACTGCTCCTGAAAGAATACCTATCGTTAAAAAGAGAAAACCCAGACTAATAATACGATAACCCCAACGATCCAATTGTTGAATAAATTGAGACCTGTAATAATTTATAGAAGAAGAAAAAGAAGTTTTTCGTAAAACATTGTTTCTTTCATTCCTATTCATGTATTTGATTTCAACAAAATCAACTGATTTTTTTAAAGAATCCAAATTCTTGGTAAAAGCAAGAATTTGGATGACTTCTTGAAACGTAATGACTAAAATAGCCACTGATAATAATGATCCACATAAAAGAGCTGCATAGCCCAGTATCATCATACTTACGTGCATCATTAGCCAATGGGATTGTAGAGCGGGTACTAATATTACGGATTGATGCATTTTGGTTAAAAGACCCGAAGTCGCAAAGCCTTGGGTAAAAATAACACTTGGTGCAATTATTGTACTTAAAAGGTTTTTCTCCTTTTTAAAAAAAGGAACCATATGAAAAATTGAAAAACCCCATGAAAGAAAGATTAGGGATTCATATAAATCACTAAATGGTAAATGTCCCGAAAAAAACCAACGAGTAATTAACAATCCCGTTACACAGAAAAAACTTATTATCATGGCTTTTTTGGACAAATCATATAATCCTACGATTTCATTGCCTAATAAGGTTATCAAATGAATTGAAATAACAATTGATATCACGGAAAACGATATATGAGTTAATATATGCTCTAAAGTTGTAAATATCATATATATAATGAAAATAAAAATATCTATAATGAAAATAAAAAAGGTATGAATTGATGCTGATGTGCATCTTACATAGTTAATGATGCAGAACTTTTTCAGTTCATCCTATTGGCTCGTCCTAAATAAGTATAGCTCCATCCAATTTTGGAATCTCAATTAATCCCTATATTATTGTCTTTTTTATTTCTCAATTTTCTTATTTATACCATCCTAATCTAGAATAAGATTAGGAATGAAACCTCTATTATTCTGTCTAATCTATAAGAAAAAGAAAATGTACATACAGATATTTCTTTAATATCTGGGGTTGTCGAAGTTCAGATTACTTTCTGATTTTTATCATTTAGTGAGCATCTTGTATTTCATAAAAATTGGGGGCGATATAATCTTTACGCAAAGGCCATCCTATCCAACTTTCGGGCATTAAAATACGTTTCAGACGCGGATGATTATCATAATAGATTCCTAACATATCATAAGATTCCCTTTCTTGAAAATCTGCACTTTTCCAAACCCAGAAAATAGAAGGAATTCTCGGATTTTGCCTTGGGGTAAATACTTTTATGCATACCTCTTCGGGTTGATCTAGACTATACTCTATTCTCGTAAGATGATAGACACTCGCTAATAGTCCTCCTGGTGCTACATCATAGGCACATTGGGAACGTAGATAATTGTAACCATATACATATAAAATAACAGCAATCGAATGCCAATCCTCGGGCTTTATTTGTAAAGTCTCTATTCCTTGATAATCAAAACCTAAAGATCTATGAACTATTCCGTGTTTGACTAGCCAAGCAGACAAATTACCTTGCATTTTTTTACTTCTCCCGAGTTTTTTATAAGATTGGTATAAGTATTTACCATTTATTTACATTACAATGAAATTTTTGAAGATTGACTTGCTTGCTATTTCTTATTGTATTTTGTACAAAAGGATCCTGTTTAATTCACTTTTTCGTTCGTCGGAGGATACTGAACTTTTTTATATTTCAAAAATGTGTCAGAGGTTATCTCTGAAATAGATGATGGTTGATAGAATAATCCTTGATTATAATTGCCGGTATGAGTACCGCGTCCAACATAAAATTTGTGGTTGGTAGTAAAACACCTATTCTCTCGTTGATAACTAAATTGATCTTCATAGATTTCTCGAGATATTTTCTTACGAAGTTTTGTTATAGCATCTATAACGGCTTCCGGTTTAGGTGGACAGCCCGGCAAATATACATCCACAGGAATTAGCTTATCCACGCCCCGAACAGTACTATAAGAATCGGTACTGAACATACCTCCTGTAATTGTACAGGCTCCCATAGCAATAACATATTTTGGTTCGGGCATTTGCTCATATAATCGAACTAAAGAAGGAGCCATTTTCATAGTTACGGTGCCCGCTGTTAAAATGAGGTCTGCCTGCCTAGGACTAGAGCGTGGTACCAGTCCATAACGATCAAAGTCAAATCGCGATCCTATTAATGAAGCAAATTCAATGAAGCAACAACTAGTACCATAGAGAAGCGGCCATAAACTAGATAGTCTTGACCAATTTGAAAGATCATTTAATGTAGTAGAAATAACTGAATTTTTGGTTTTTTGATCAAGTAAGGGAAACTCAATGGAATTCATAACTGTCTCAATGTTTTGTTTAATTGTCTAAATATTCAAGAATTAAGACCATTCTAATGCTCCCTTTCGCCATGCATAAACTAAACCAACAATTAGGATAAGCACGAAGATGAAAGCTTCTATAAATACGGATACCCCCAATACATCAAAACTCATTGCCCACGGGTAAAGAAAGACTGTTTCAACATCAAAAACAACAAAAACTAGAGCAAACATATAATAACGGATTTGAAATTGTAACCAAGCATCGCCCATCGGTTCTATTCCGGATTCATAACTAGAAAGTTTTTCTGGCCCTTTCCTAATTGGAGCTAAAATTCCAGAAATTAGAAATGCCAAAATAGGAATAAAGATCGATATTATTAGAAATGTCCAAAAAATATCATATTCATAAAGCAAAAACATAAATGTCCTCCTAGGAATGGGGAAAATATACTGGATTCATATTAATTCTGAGTCGATTTGAATTGAAATTTTCAAATTCTTAGATTCATTAATAGAATCTAAATAGAAATGCTTTGTATTTTCTTAAGTTTACATTTTTTCTAATAAAATTGAGATTATTATCTGAGTATACTAATACTCATATTATTCTATCCACTATTAATCTATTCGAATAGAAATTACTTTATTCATTCTTTCTATTACAAAAAGTATTGAAAGTATATTTATACTAGTAGTATTACTAGTATGGAGTATTCAATATAGTACTAATCTAGTACATATAGTATTAGTACATATATATTTGTAATGACAGATATTAGATAAGAAATCTAAATCTGAGTAGTATCGGTAGTAATATTAGGGCTATACGGACTCGAACCGTAGACCTTCTCGGTAAAACACATCAAACTATTATTTATTATTATCAAAATGATTTGAATTGTTTGAAAGACCCAACGTGCATTTTTTTTGCATTGGGCTTTTTCATTAACTGATAGAAATATCAATTAGTCTACCATCTTTTTTCTTTACACAAAGAAAAAGGAAATGACTCCCTGTGCTCTGATTTCTTATTTAGATCAAAATCTAAGAGCACTACCAAAGTTTTTCAAAGAAGAAGGTTATCCTGACGTAGGTCTGCTTCTGGCCTGGATCAACTTAAGTTAAATGGACTCTCTATCAACCTACTTCAATAAAAATATCAAATAGGAAATGAAACTTCATACACCTTAAAGTTCATAAGATAGGAAGAAAAGAGATTTTTTTTGAGGTCCCTAGACTCATTGCCTAGCATTGAATAGATTAAGTATTCACCGTATCAATATCTCAAATCCATTATGGATTCCATTTGACGTCTAAATCCTTTGTCAGGCTATTGTTCTCTTATTTTGTTCCGGGAGTAAGACATCGATTTATCAATTAAGATCAACTCTTTTAATTACATGATGGACTCCTATGAAAAAACATTGGCGCATGTGTAAACGAGGTGCTCTACCTAACTGAGCTATAGCCCTTGTGCTTTGGATACATATTTGATCATATTCGATAAATAAATTCTTGTCAAGATAAATATGACATGATCCAATCTCTTTGATTTATATTGCGTTTGTATTGTTTATAAGTAATATAACATTTATAATCCATTGATCTGATAGACAGCTACTTTTTTTATTTAGGATGATAAATGACCTACTTAACTCAGTGGTTAGAGTATTGCTTTCATACGGCAGGAGTCATTGGTTCAAATCCAATAGTAGGTAAGGTATTGGTAGAACTTATTAGATACCATTAATTCCGGTATCTAATAAGTTTTTCTACTCACCATTGTTTTATTGTAATTTTCTATCTTTTTTCTATTTTTTGGCTGCACCAACTTGTTATGAGATCATATTGATAGCCTCTACTCGTGTCCTAGCTCGCCGGAGAGCTAGATTTGCTTCAATTGTTTGTCTCTTGCCTTCAGCCTTATTCAAGTTAGCTTCTGCTATTTGAAGAGTTTGTTGTGCTTCTTGTGGATTAATGTCACTACCCCTTTCTGCATCATTTACTAAAATAGTGATCTCATTATTGCCTATTCTAGCAAAACCGCCCATCAGAGCCATCGTTAACCATCGGTCGTTAAGGCGTATTCTCAAAATACCTATATCTAAAGATGTGGCAATAGGCGCATGATTTTTTAATACCCCAATTTGTCCACTATTAGTAGATAAAATAATTTCTTTCACTTCTGAATCCCAAACAATTCGATTGGGGGTCAGTACACAAAGATTTAAAGTCATTTCTTGAATTTGTTCTCCATTTCTAAGTTAAGTTCGTAGCCTTCGCAGTAGCTTCATCGATATTACCCACCAAATAAAAGGCTTGTTCAGGAAGACTATCTAATTCTCCAGAAAGAATCAATTTAAATCCTCGAATTGTTTCTGCTAGACCAACATATTTCCCTGGGGAACCGGTAAATACTTCTGCTACGAAAAAAGGTTGTGATAAGAAACGTTCAATTTTTCGTGCTCTTGCTACGGTTAAGCGATCCTCTTCGGATAATTCGTCCAACCCAAGAATAGCTATAATGTCCTGAAGTTCTTTGTAACGTTGTAACGTTTGTTTCACTCTTTGCGCAGTTTCATAATGTTCTTCACCGACGATGCGAGGTTGGAGCATGGTTGACGTTGAATCTAAAGGATCTACTGCTGGATAGATACCTTTGGCAGCTAATCCTCTTGATAGTACAGTAGTTGCATCCAAATGTGCAAATGTCGTGGCAGGAGCAGGATCAGTCAAATCGTCTGCAGGTACATAAACTGCTTGAATAGAAGTTATAGACCCTTCTTTGGTAGAAGTAATTCTTTCTTGTAAAGTACCCATTTCAGTACCCAGGGTGGGTTGATAACCCACAGCGGAAGGCATTCGGCCCAATAAGGCGGATACTTCGGATCCGGCTTGGACAAAACGGAAGATATTGTCGATAAATAGAAGGACGTCCTGCTCATTGACATCTCGGAAATATTCTGCCATAGTTAGGGCAGTTAAACCAACTCTCATACGAGCTCCGGGCGGTTCATTCATTTGACCGTAGACTAGAGCTACTTTTGATTCCGCAATATTTTTTTCATTAATTACTCCGGATTCTTTCATTTCCATATAAAGATCATTTCCCTCACGAGTACGCTCACCTACTCCGCCAAATACGGATACACCTCCATGAGCTTTGGCAATGTTATTGATCAATTCCATAATGAGAACTGTTTTACCTACCCCAGCTCCACCGAAAAGTCCTATTTTTCCGCCACGGCGATAAGGAGCTAAAAGATCGACTACTTTAATTCCTGTTTCAAAAATGGATAATTGTGTATCTAACTGTATAAAGGCAGGCGCAGATCTATGAATAGGAGATGTTGTGCGAGTATCTACAGGACCCAAATTATCAATAGGCTCTCCAAGCACGTTGAAAATTCGACCTAGGGTTGCTCCACCGACTGGAACACTTAGAGCAACTCCCGTGTCAATCACTTCCATTCCTCTATTTAGACCATCTGTAGCACTCATAGCTACAGCTCTAATTCTATTATTTCCTAATAATTGCTGTACTTCACACGTTACGTTAATTTGTTGGCCAACCGTATCTCGACCTTGAACTATCAGAGCGTTGTAAATATAAGGCATCTTCCCTGGTGGAAAAACTACATCGAGTACCGGACCGATTATTTGCGTGATACGCCCCAGATTTTTTTTTTCAAGTGCAGAAACCTCAGTATCAGAAGGAGGAGGAGTTATTGTCATATTAAAAAATATCCATTTTTTTGAAAAAAAAAAATTGAAATTAAGAAAAAACTGTTTGATAACAAAGCAAGTTGATCGGTTAATATTCTTAATTTTCTTAATATTTAATAATATATAAAAGAATAAATGTAAGTTAATAATCGATTTTCTTGGTACCATCCAACCAATTCAATTGTTTTTAAATTTCAATGAGTGAATTTTCAAGGTCAACCCAGTCATTATGAAAATTTTAATTGGATGAAATCTTTTGAAAGTCTTTCATTTGTTTATCATTCTAGATTATAGACAATACTATCTATATTATCTATGTAATTCGAACCTGAACTTTGTTTGTTTATGATTCCGTTTTTCTATCTCATTGGTCCTTCTTTTTTCTTTCCTCAGCATAGGATTTATACTATGCAGATTCTTTTTACCAATTTTTCTTTTTATTGGGCAAATTCTGCCGATTTTGACATCTAGGATTTACATATACAACATATATCACTGTCAAGGTCAAGAGTATATTTTTTATTATTTAGATTAGAAAATGAGATTCCAAAATTCAAAAAAAAAAAAATAAGAGACTCAAAAAAAAACGGTTGGGTTGCGCCATACATATGAAACAGTATAGAATAATGATGTATTTGCCAAATCAAATATCATGGTAAAATTGAACAATGACCCATTCGGATTAATTGATAATATTAGTTGATGGATCATTTGTAAAAAGGTTTTCTTAACTCCTAAGTTATGTCGAGTAGACCTTGTTCTTGCTATAATTCTTAATTCATGCGTTGTAGGGGGGGGATTTATGTCACCACAAACAGAAACTAAAGCAAAGGTTGGGTTCCAAGCTGGTGTTAAAGATTATAAATTGACTTATTATACTCCTGAATATCAAACCAAAGATACTGATATCTTGGCAGCATTCCGAGTAACTCCTCAACCAGGAGTTCCGGCTGAAGAAGCAGGTGCAGCGGTAGCTGCAGAATCTTCCACTGGTACATGGACAACTGTGTGGACCGATGGACTTACCAGCCTTGATCGTTATAAAGGACGCTGCTACGAGATAGAGCCTGTTCCTGGAGAAGATAATCAATTTATTGCTTATGTAGCTTATCCCTTAGACCTTTTTGAAGAAGGTTCTGTTACTAACATGTTTACCTCCATTGTAGGTAATGTATTTGGGTTCAAGGCTTTACGCGCTCTACGTCTGGAAGATTTGCGAATCCCTAATGCTTATGTTAAAACTTTCCAAGGTCCTCCTCACGGAATCCAAGTTGAGAGAGATAAATTGAACAAGTATGGACGTCCCCTATTGGGATGTACTATTAAACCAAAATTGGGTTTATCCGCTAAGAATTATGGTAGAGCAGTTTATGAATGTCTCCGCGGGGGACTTGATTTTACCAAAGATGATGAAAATGTGAACTCCCAACCATTTATGCGTTGGAGAGACCGTTTCTTATTTTGTGCCGAAGCAATTTATAAATCACAGGCCGAAACAGGTGAAATCAAAGGACATTATTTGAATGCTACTGCGGGTACATGTGAAGAAATGCTAAAAAGAGCTGTATTTGCTAGAGAATTGGGCGTTCCTATCGTAATGCATGACTACTTAACAGGTGGATTCACTGCAAATACTACCCTGTCTCACTATTGCCGCGATAATGGTCTACTTCTTCATATCCACCGTGCTATGCATGCAGTTATCGATAGACAAAAAAATCATGGTATGCACTTTCGTGTATTAGCTAAAGCCTTACGTATGTCTGGTGGAGATCATATTCACGCTGGTACTGTAGTAGGTAAACTTGAAGGAGAGAGGGAGATTACGTTAGGTTTTGTTGATTTACTACGTGATGATTATATTGAAAAAGATAGAAGTCGCGGTATTTATTTCACTCAGGATTGGGTTTCTTTACCAGGTGTTATCCCTGTTGCTTCAGGGGGTATTCACGTTTGGCATATGCCTGCTCTGACCGAGATATTTGGAGATGATTCTGTACTCCAATTCGGTGGAGGAACTTTAGGACACCCTTGGGGAAATGCACCTGGTGCCGTAGCGAATCGAGTAGCTCTGGAAGCATGTGTACAAGCTCGGAATGAGGGACGTGATCTTGCTCGCGAGGGTAATGCAATTATCCGTGAAGCTTGCAAATGGAGTCCTGAATTAGCTGCTGCTTGTGAAGTCTGGAAGGAAATCAAATTTGAATTCCCAGCAATGGATACTTTGTAATCCAGTAATAATCATTCGTTCTATTAATTTCCATTAAACTCGGCCCAATCTTTTACTAAAAGGATTGAGCCGAATACAATACACAATACAAAAATACTTGTTGTATCTAGAATGAATCCTATAGATCTTTCGGATTGATCTATTTTTTTTCTAGTTCATTCTTCTTTTTTGATTTGGAATAGAATGAATTAAAATAGAAATATTTTCTATTTAAAAATGAGAATAGAAATATTTTTTTATTTGTTTTCTCGATTGTATTCTTTTTTTCAACACTAATATTGACAACAGTGTATCAAACAAATATAATCTGATCGTGAATCAATGGATGGATTGACTCATGTCACATAGGTTTTTTACTTCATCAAATGGTGGATTCATTGTATTTTGATTTTGTTTGATACAAACAAGAAGTTTTTTTTCTTGAAATAGAAATATGAAAAAAATAATACTAATTTAAAACTATATTAATAGACAAATAACTACAGTACTGTACTAAACAAGTCGTCTATCATTTTTGATTCTCATTTTTTCTTTTTTTCATTGTATTGTAATATAATGTAATATGTAACATTTGATTCTATTATTTATAGAATTCCATCTTTTTTTTATTGCGATTGGATATACAGATCCTTGTTTGTAATTTTATTAGGGTTGCTAACTCAATGGTAGAGTACTCGGCTTTTAAGTGCGACTCCATTTTTTACACATTTCTATGAACTAATTGGTTCATCCATACCATCGGTAGGGTTTGTAAGACCACGACTGATCCAGAAAGGAATGAATGGAAAAAGCAGCATGTCGTATCAACGGTGAATTCAAAAAATTTTTCATTCATATTGGATCCGACCAATCTTTTTCTTTGAATTGTTGGCTGGGAACAAATGAATTCCGTTGGGTTGAATTAATAAAGGGATAGAGCTTAGCTGCTCGAATTCTAGGGAAAGAAAAAGCAACGAGCTTTCATTTTTTATTGGAATGATTACCACATCTAGTTATACGTTAAAAAAGGATTAGTGCTTGCTGTGGAAAAAGTTTTTCCCACGAATGGATTAAGGATTTTTGTTATGAGTCCTAATTATTAGCTATTCCCCATTATGTTATGGGGTAGCAAGAAATGTGTAGAAGAAAGAGTATATTGATAAAGATATTTTTTTCCAAAATCAAAAGAGCGATTGGTCCCCAAAAAATAAAGGATTTCTAACTAGCTTGTTGTCCTAGAAAAATTAGAAGGAACAAGCGAGGGGAGATAGTCCATTAATGTGTTTTAACTCGTTTTCTAGGTATCTATTCATATTTGTTTTTTATTTCAATTCGAATATAGATATAGAATACCTTGTTTTGACTGTATCGCACTATGTATCATTTGATAATCCAATGAATCTCTGATCCTTTGACCAAATATCATTTCTAAAATGAAGGAATATAAAGTCTATTTAGAACGAGCTAGATCTCGCCAACAGCACTTCCTATACCCACTTATTTTTAGGGAGTATATTTATGGACTTGCTTATAGTCATAATTTGAATAGATCCATTTTTGTGGAAAATATAGGTTATGACAAGAAATATAGTTTACTAATTGTAAAACGGTTAATTACTCGAATGTATCAACAGAATCATTTAATCATTTGGGCTAATGATTCTAACAAAAATCCATTTTGGGGGTATAAGAATAATTATTATTCTCAAATAATATCAGAGGGTTTTGCCATCGTCGTGGAAATTCCATTTTTCCTACAATTAAGCTCTTCCTTAGAGGAGGAAGAAATCATCAAATCTTATAAAAATTTGAGATCAATTCATTCCATTTTTCCCTTTTTGGAGGATAAATTGACATATTTGAATTATGTGTCAGATATACGAATACCCTATCCTATCCATCTGGAAATCTTAGTTCAAATCCTTCGATACTGGGTGAAAGATGCCCCTTTTTTTCATTTCTTACGGCTGTTTCTTTGGAATTGGAATAGTTTTATTACTACCAAAAAATCAATTTCTACTTTTTCAAAAAGTCATCGAAGATTCTTCTTGTTCCTCTATAATTTTTATGTATGTGAATATGAATCTATCTTCGTTTTTCTACGTAATAAATCCTCTCATTTACGATTAAAATCTTTTAGCGTTTTTTTTGAGCGAATTTTTTTTTATGCAAAAAGAGAGCATCTTGTCAAAGTTTTTGCTAAAGATTTTTCGTATACTTTAACATTCTTCAAGGATCCTAACATTCATTATGTTCGATATCAAGGAAAATGCATTCTGGCTTCAAAGAATGCGCCTTTTTTGATGAATAAATGGAAACACTTTTTTATCCATTTATGGCAATGTTTTTTTGATGTTTGGTCTCAACCCAGAATGATCAATATAAACCCATTATCCGAACATTCATTTCAGCTGTTAGGCTATTTTTCAAATGTGCGACTAAATCGTTCAGTGGTACGGAGTCAAATGCTGCAAAATACATTTCTAATAGAAATTGTTATCAAAAAACTTGATATAATAGTTCCAATTATTCCTCTAATTAGATCATTGGCTAAAGCGAAATTTTGTAATGTATTAGGGCAGCCCATTAGTAAGCCGGTCTGGGCCGATTCATCTGATTTTGATATTATTGACCGATTTTTGGGAATATGCAGAAATCTTTCTCATTATTATAATGGATCCTCAAAAAAAAAAAGTTTGTATCGAATAAAGTATATACTTCGGCTTTCTTGTATTAAAACTTTGGCTTGTAAACATAAAAGTACTGTACGCGCTTTTTTGAAAAGATCAGGTTCAGAAGA